TAATCCATTTAAGTTCAATGAAACGCCACAACAACTCTCCGGCGCACAGAAAAAGTCGCTCACACCGTTAATGTAGCAGCAGTACACACCTGTGTAAAACATAACTGATATTTGTATCTCCTTTGTATTTAAACATAACTCGACAGTTTGTTTACCGACTAAAGCAGGACAGTATGCGCTACTAGCATCATACATTACACGTTACCGACATCCAGACTTGAGATACCGACATCCTCACGCGATTTCAAAAATGCTTACTCTTCAACACAGACATTGATAAGTAAATTCAGTACATTCAATGTATTTCCACCATCAAAGTTTATCAGTGCTGAATAATGTTAATTATATACACATGGAAGACTGCTGATACAACGGGAATAATCGCCAAGCGATGTTTCCTGCAGCCATGTTGGGAATCTGGTAACGTTACCAGCATCACCTTAGGTACAGTGAACATGCAATCAGTTGCCGAGCCTGCCAGAGAGCGACATGGCAAAGGTCACGTGACTAACAGGTAACAATATTATCTGTAGTTAGTGTTGGCCCGGGAAAGCGCCATTTCAATTTTTACCTTTTAATGAAATAGGAATGGCCCCTAAAAATAATAACAGCAGAGAACAGAAGAGAACAGAACTTTATTACACTCAGGCCGATATCATCTGCATACGAGGTGCAAATGACAAGAAATTTATAATGGCGGAATAGTTAGCTGGAAAAGGTTACAATTTGCACGATATATTTACAGAATTTACAGAGATTTTTAAAACAGATCTTTTAACATGTAGTGTTAAGAGTAACTTATTTGGTCTTTATAAAGGAAGCTGGCATATACATTGATCTTTTTCTAAAATATGTGCATTTAAGAATATGACGAAACTCTTCACCCACATCATTCATACGTTTTTGGAATTTTTTCACCTCTGAACTCCAGAGGTGAATAGCATTGGCACTTAAAATTGCACGAGTTGTATTTTTTAACCAGGAAGATGAAATAGGAGACTGGTTTAAGTTATGTATGGCTTTCGCAAAGTTATTACAAATATGCTCTATACATGAAATCCAGCTACAGCTGTGAATACCTTGATTATGAAGATTATATACAATAGAATAAAAGACTGACGATAACTTAAATGAATTGTTTGTAACAATTTATACCAAAAAGTTAACATACGAGTTCTAAAAAAAAACCCAGAAAGTGGGACTCTACCTCATTCACCATAAAGCATATACAATGGGGTACTTTTCTTTACAGGTAAGAATTCTCATAAAACGTATGTACAATTCAATTTGTTTTAAATTAAACATATCCCCAAATTTCACAACTGTACAAGATTTGTTTCACCATTGAATGAAAGATAAAGTTGGCACATTCATAACTACTAGTATATCATGTCATTCCGGGAAGCCGGAGTAGTTACGAATGATAGTTGACATTGTATTGATAAGTGTAACATTCAACTTCAGCGTAAAACAAAATACATGGCTTTAGTAGCTTGTTGATAGATTTGATTTAGATAATAGAAAATGTTCTTTCAAATTAAAAAAAAAATAACTGCAAGATTTTTATACACAATAACAGTTTTCCTTAGGTTCAACCAACTGGTTGAAATATCCAATTGGGACATTCCCATTTATAAATGGTTGTTGCCCTAATAAATCCCCAGTCCAGTGTCACAACTGGAATGTCTAATGGGATGTTAACTAATCTCAGTTAATCTGACTATTGGGATGTCTGACAAATGGGAGGATACCTTAATCGATTACGTAACACTTAGCGATCCACCTACCCACATTTCGTGCAACTGTTCTCTATACAATGTTAATCTCAATGTCAAAACTGTTGTTTCTCCTACCTAACACATATTCATTTAATACATATCTCTGCAACCTCAGATACTGCTTGACCTCACCTACCTGGGGACAATCTCTAAAAAGAGTATAAATTTAAACACTGTCATGTCCACAAGTTATGAAAATCATAGCTCGCCTCACACTGACTGAAGTATCAGGGTGGAGATCGAGCAACCTGGGACTTGAGCATGATCATGTACAAGTAAGATATGTGGTGATGCACTGAGTGCAATGTTTTGTCGAAGTTGATTCCCATTGTCTGGGAATGCTTGAGTAACTCACGTTCAGCTGGGACATTGTTGCATTACACAGTCCGATGGGTCTGGAGCCCGGAGACGTCTCGCCGTGCTCCATTGTGTCAAGGGCATCGGATTTGAGTCAAGGCCTGAACTTCACGATGTTGTAATACAGCACATACTTTCACCGCACGTGCTTATTGGTCTAGGGCGCAACTATTTTGGTTTTCGCGGTGGGGAGTGGTGGTGTATTTCCTGTACAGAAAAGCCTCGGTTTTACTGGAATATATACTGAACCGCAAAAGAAACGCAAGTCAAAATCCATATCTATAAAAACTCTACTTTTGACAGAAAATGCATGAAAACAGGTACATAACAATCACTTCTTGCATGATTATTGGGACATGTCAGTCAGTGCATGGAAACATTGTAGGTTTACTTTGCATTAAAGACAAAATCGAAATTGATCCAACAAGTCAGTAGCGCGTATGTCCACCTCGTGCATTCTCTACAGCTGTGCACCGCCTGAACATGGAGTGAATCAGACGGTTGGCAAAGGCCCCCAGGGATTGCCGCACATGTCCGGATGATGGCTGCCTGGAGTTCTGCTGCAGTTGTCGGACTTCATTAAGTCGTCTCTGCAGCTCGTCCCAAAAAATGTTTGATCGGGTTTAAATCGGTACTGACAGCAGGCCATGGCAGTAGTCGGATGTTGTGCTGCTGGAAAATGCCCGAGTGACTCTAGCAGTGCGGGGCCTGGCATTCTTGCTGGAAAATGTGTTGCTGGTGCCGGACGAAAAATGGCACAACCTGGGGTTGGAGGATCTGGTCGATATAACGTTGGGCAGCGACTTCATTTCCCCGGCCTGGCCCAATATTTTGGAAGAATACTGGCCCTAATCTCCGATTCAGGCCAATCCCTGCCCATACCATAACGCTGGGACCTCCCCATGCATCAACTTCCATTACACATTCCTCAGCTCGTCTTCGCCATATTCGAACTCTGCCGTAAGCATGAGAAATGCAAAACTGACTTTCAGAGAATACCAGTCTCCACTGTTGATGACGCAAGTTTCGATGCAACGTAGCCCACTGCAGACGATTCTGACGATGTCTCGGTGTGAGGATAGGACGTCGGGCTGGACGACGACGACAACGGAGGTGGACTGCTCTGAGTCTGCGCCGAACTGTATCGCCGCTTATTGCTCGGTTGTGACGTCCAATAGTCTGTCGGGCAGTCTCGTTGGCAGATAAGAATCTATCCCCGATGTGCGAACGTTGAATGTGTCGATCTTGCCGTGGTGTTGTGACTCTCGGACGTCGAGGACGTTGGCGGTCAGCAGTGGTCTGTAGCAGCAAAACGTTCCTGAAGACGGTAGATGGTCGTTATGTGCACATGGAATGCCTTGGCAACATCTGCAACCCTGTCCAGCTTCAAGACGGCCGATGGCTTGTTCCCTCTGTTGCGTCGTTAACTTTGGCATTCTTGGTGGGCGTTTGTCGGGAGTGATTTCAAACTGATTTGAGGACATTTATATACCCCTATGTGTCCGTGACAAAATGTGCATCATGATTTTCATGAAAACTTCTGCAACCACATCCCACGGGCAATTCAATTGCTGCGTTTGGGCGATGTGCAATAGCCAAGAACAATCACCAAACAGAACCTGAACATTACAAAACTGTTTTTCCACAACAATGGTAACCAAAGTATAGTTTCACTATAATATTTAACAATGTTCTGTCCAATAATTATTAATTTTGAAAAACTTGCGTTTTTTATGCGGTTCAGTATACTTAGTATGTATGCCCCTTAATCTTGCAGTCGGTATGTGTCGAAACATTTAACGATCCAACTTTGTTTAATTTTGGAAAATGTAATCGAGGTCTCACACGTGTTGAAAATGCTAATCTCAAACCAACATCAAGCTCCTCTCCTTTGAAATGGTTTGTCCCCGATGTCGTACTATAAAACACGGATTCCTTGACACCTGTCACGCTTGTCGATTTATCGCATCGTATCCTCGTTATTACCATCATTCTACGCATTTTCAGCTATGTTCAGTTTCTTTAGTTCTCCGACAGCTCAGGGACCCCAGACTACCCGACCAATCAGGGACCCCAAGCAACCCAAACTATCCCCAGACAACCCAGACCAACCAGGGACCCCAAGCAACCCAAACTATCCCCAGACAACCCAGGGACCCCAGACAACCCAGACCAACCAGGGACCCCAGGCAACCCAAACTATCCCCAGACAACCCAGACCAACCAGGGACCCCAGGCAACACCGACGTCGCAGGCCGGGACCCAGGGATCGACTCCTTTTGCCAACCCAATGACAACCGCACCCACAGCGGTACGTGGAGGTACAACGACAATGAATGTGTAAACACGATATTTGTTAAAATGTTTCTGTATCATTCATCCAACTTGTTCCAGTTCTTAACACACCTACGGTCTTATTCCTATGTACATCTAAAATAATTGTGTGCCTTACACAAGGTAGTGGGTAAAAGCACTGGTAAGAGTTCCGCCCGTAACCCCCACTTGAAATGTATTCTATTTATTAGGATTATTTCGAGGGTTTAGGGTTAGGTATAGGCTGTTTATAAAAAAAAGACAGCCAGATATTCTCGGGCATATGATTAAAAATAAATACGGGTGTTACGGGCGGAAATCTTTCCAAAGCACTGACAAGTAAGCATGTATGAACGTGCGTAACCAATGATAGATCATATGAGGCCGACACTTGAACCTTCAGTCAGACAATATACCGATATAATATGGTCTCTGCCTTTCACGGATTGTATGACCAATGTGCAGACTGATGGCAGTGTCAGTGACTGTACGGTCCGGACTCATATGGCAGAGTTATTGCGGGGTGCGCAGTTACACTATAAACAAAGCGGAGCAAGTCAGTAATCGTTTACATGAACACGCACTTGAATATAGATATCCAAACTGATAATTACAGTGGGTGACCCGTCTTATTTGTTGTGACAGCTTGTAGAAGCCCGGCTTCAGCAGCTTGAAGAGCAACTCAGATCTCCGGAGAACCGGCAGCTTAAACAGGAACTCGGCCGACTGAAAGCAAACCAAACAAATTAATGTTAACAGCGAGGGAGCAACAGTGATGCCTAGATGTTAGCACAAGTCGTGAAAGATTTCCGCCCGTAACCCCAGTCACATGAGTTTTTTTAAAGCATTCCATGCCTATGAATATAGGCCTGTGGTTTTTATAAAAAAGCCTAAACCTACAACCTAAACCCTCAACAAAAAAAATCCTAATAAATAGAATACATTTCAAGCAGGGGTTACGGGGGAGCTCTTACCAGAAGTCGTACATACGGCGTTAGCGATGTGTCTCTGCCAAATAAGGTATTCGATTATAGGTCAACTTGAAATAGCGTTTAGCTATTAACAACTACTTCACAATACATGCAAGTTGTGATCACTTCTTGGAAGGTTTTCCCCAATTACTTTTTTTAATCTGTAATTTGGGGACACATCCATCTTGGCCACCTAGCATTTCCGTCTTAATACGCCAAACAACATACAAGAGATAAAAGTACAGGTTTTCATGTGTGTATGTGCATAAGGACAAGCGTACAAGTTGTCGGTTCTGTATCCATTTGGTTTTACAACAGTCCGCAAACACAGCAACGTCAACGGCTTCGGCATCTACATCAGTCAGCGTAGCCACTCAGACGGTGCCAAATCAGAGTCAGATTACTTCTTATTTATGGTAAACAAGCATCCATATACCCCACACTTAGAATTAGTTATATAAGGACGCTAAAAATGTTGAACTGCGCGTGGCGGTGCTGTTACACCTTTGTTGGATTTTAACCTAACCAAGAAATCAGTTTAGAGGAATTAGAGATATTGTTACTGTATCACAGTTGAATTTAGTTAAAATATATATAGTTCCATTATGTGTTGTGGTACTTTCATGTATTTTTAACCATATAAATTTCAATATTCAGCAACACCAGCTTTGAGAAAATTAAAATTCACCCCTTGGCGAGTTATTTTAACGCTTAAGCCGAGTTAAAGTTAAACCGAGTTGTGTCACACTTAAACTTACTTTTTTTCATTTACAATATCCAAAACATGAAAAAACATTTGTGAGCAAAAGTAAATATTTTGCCAGTTTGGCGAACAGATTTTCTTCATCCTAAGCATATATTCATGATAACGTCATGTTGAATTGTCAAATCCTTTGTTTCTGGACTTCCGGGTTTATTGAATTGTGACAGTTATTGTTAAATGTGACCGGGCTGTTTCTTATTTACAATTCATGCCTGTCTTAGGGTTCATTACAAACATCTTACTGAAAACATTCATTTCAATCACCTAGAAGTTCTGCCTAATTCGGTGTACAAACTGAACTAGTGCAGCAGTCTTAGTGTGTAAATGCTATGGAGTAGACTTGATGAAGATTATACCTGCAGATTGTCCCTCCATATCCGGCATTGGCTTCCGTCTCGATCCCCGTCTTCGCCTCAGCATCGGCCTCGACCTCGACCTAAAAAAGCTAAACTAAATTAACTTACTTTGGTCTAAACAAAGAACTAAACGTGGCAGCTATTATCAGTGAGAAAATTATGAATGATTTACAATGAACTAAACGGGATTCTGTTAAGGTGAAGAAAATGAACTTTGAAATGAAACCGCTAAATACCGCTAATTGTCTATGCTCAAAACCACTACAATATTCTAATACAAGTACAGCAATGTAACGCCACAATAGCCAACTGAACCTACAAGTCTAACAACGAAATCAGCCCTTCTAGTCTAATGCCTACAACCGACTGGAACGAATAGGCCGGTGTATCGTTTCCCACCGTCTGATATACTCCAAACAACTTCGTATTTCACGTGCACTCATACCCGTCTCCGGGTGTATTCATGCGATATGACCAGTTTGCACTGGGTGCGTTTGAGCGAGCAGTTTTTATGAAAACCCAAATGTCTTCAGAACAGATCACATTCTGTTTTGTCTGTCTTGTCCTGGTGGCATTATTTTCAAACTATTTTATACCTTCAGTTGCTCATCTGTGACGATCCGGGTTAGAATTGTTTTTAGTCACCCTTGCTTGTCGTAAGCGGCAACTAACTAGATCGGGTGGTCAGGATCACTGACTTGGCTGACGATCGTATTCCAGTTGCGTAGTTCCATCCTCATGCTGTTGATCACTTGATTGTCTGGCCCAGACTCGATTATTTACAGCCCGCCGCCATATAGGTGGAATATTGCTGAGTGCGGAGTTGAACAACCAACCTCCAGTTGCTGCGATCTATTGTCTTACTTTATATTGTGTTGCTCACAACTGATTTAGCATTTAAACTGATCTCACACTAGTTTTAATTAATCTGTCATATTGCTATAATGTCCTTCGCTTACATCATTTTAATAAGTCTATATACATGTATTTATTCTCAGTATATGATTATCTTGACGATATGGCTGAAATAGTGCCAATATCATAATATGACTATTTTACTATGCTTTGTTTTAAATGGATATTTGCACTATTTGAAAATATCTCTAACAGTAACCTCCGAGCGTATGAATATAAGGCTAATTCTTCGAAGAGATTGTCCTCAGCTGTGTTAACAATTATACACAATCTACACATCTGTTTATACATCTATACATGTTTCCGTCCTGATATCTTTCATTACCTGTTATTACATGTTCACTATACTCTTACTACTTCAGATGTTGTTACAACAGAACAGGCAACATGTATTCGACAACGACAGCTACAGCAACAACATCGACGACGTTAGGGCATCAGACCGCTAACTCTTGACATCGATGTGTCCTACCTTCATTCGCTAGCCCCAGTTGCCTTCCAGTCGCCAGTCAACAGTTCCAACGTTTTGTCAATGTCAAGCCCACAATGATTCTTTCCTCCTCCACTGTTAGACACCACTTCAACCTTGTGTCACCTCTCCAGATGCAGTAAGTACGACCGTTAAACATGAATCATACGGCAGGAATTAATTCTCCTCGGCTAAGATGTTTCGTCTTGGATCGAAATTGAGCTTCTGCGTATCTTACCTGCACAGCTCTTGACTTGGTGTTCTGACGAGTATCCCGTATGAGCGTACAATCAGCAACACCTGTCAACTGCTCATCATGTTTGTATGTAAAGATAAACGCAATAATTGAAATAATCCTTTATCAAAATATTGCTTCTTCTGGTGTGGTGACAGTCACGGCTACCTTCTCCAACACTCCTGCCACCTTCACCGCTTCATGTGCAGGAACTGATACCTTCATATACTCCATATTGACCTCTCTTCATACACTATGTCCTCCATCTCCACATGTTGGTACTAACCCCATCTGTTTTGTATGTACACCTGGCACAATCGTCCACTTACAAATCCTTGATTGATGTCTTGTGAGTAGTCACTGAGTACCTACTGATGACTCGGCAGCTTTGAGGTGTTGATGGGTCTTTCATGTTTCATGGCTCACATTCCTACCTGAAATACCCGCTAACACCTTCTAGTTGAACGATGACTCGGGTAACTTCTATTTGAACGCATATTGTATGTCTGAAAAAATTGTAAATTGCCTAAAAAATCATTCAGTATACTTCATGGTACAAGTCGAAAACGATCATTCCTAACCATGTGCGGTGCTACAGTATGTTGGCATCATCGCCCTTCCTCAAAGTTGTATGAGGTGAGTTTCATGCTTCCCTTGTTTGATTTTTACAATCAGTTAAACTGTTCTCAGCAACCTTTTTACAAGATATCGAGGACTTTAGTCTTTCTTCTCAAATGGACAAACCTGACAAATTTTATTCTAAATAATTGTTCATGGCTTTTTTTTAAATGACATTGGATCAAAATCTATCCATTTACAGCCCTTGCCACGGCTGTGCACACCACGTCCACGAAGCGCATCTCCGCTCTTATCTATGGTGTGTAATAAAGCCCATACCTGCAATAGCTAAATAAGTCTCGAAGACTGGAAATGTTTAGACGTCACTATATTGCGACTACATTAATAAACAACACTTGGAAAATAACATCCCTCATATTATTCATACATACTATCACGCGAGTGTTTCACAACAACATATCTTCTATTATGAAGAGATTTCATGGAGTCGGCCTTCTCCCGGCGCAGTCGCCGACATTTCAGTTCGGTGTTTGCCTATTTTGCCTCAAAGTTCAACTACGCCTATATTTCCTGTATAGTCTCTAGTGCAGGGCTCTGTACCATATTCTTGTCAGGTAAACATGCACCAGTCCCAATCTGGTGACTTGTCCGTTTATCATTCTACCATCCTCTTTCTCTATATGTCCAATTCATATATTACCTTAATATTGCTGACTGCATCAACTTTCACTCACACCTCAAACAATCACTATGAACCTAAATTTCGTTATTTGACACTGCACACGGCAATATTCAAGCTATATAGCGGCAGCCTAAATTTGAGAAAGGTCCACACAAGTTAATTGATTATTATGGTTCTTTATTGAAATATCTCAATTCCGAAAAACTATAAATAATACTGGGTTGGGTTTTGTTTTCAGATACCAAGAAATTGTTCCTTCTCGAACACTTCTGCGACCTGAACCGCTTCACATGCAGGAATTCATTCCCTCTGATACTCACAATATCCATGAATAAGTAACCAAAAGCAGTTTCTGTATAAAATTGTATTCTATGCGAACTTAGACCAGTTACAATATCCTATCGCGGAAGTAAACTATTTCGGCAATTTGCTACTAGTTCCCAGCTTGATCCAAACATTACATGTTAATGCAATCTGTTTTGAGTGTAAACATGAAATGGTCAACCACTTACAAGCCCTAGGTAGTGTCCCGTGAGTACCTACTGATGACTCGGCAGCTTTGAGGTGTTGATGGGTCTTTCATGTTTCATGGCTCACATTCCTACCTGAAATGCCCGCTAACACCTTCTAGTTGAACGATGACTCGGTTGTCTTCTCAAGCATCTTCTGGGTCGCTTGTACTTGGTGAACATCTTTTAGCATATGGTTTCAAAGCTTTTTGCAAGAACTGATTGTTCTGAGGTATTTCACTGTAGTTTCTTTATAAATATCAAATTACCTTTGGCTGAGCAATCACCACATATGAAAAGTTATTATCTTTGATAATGAGTTCGAGACGCCTCTTCCTAATCATGAGCGGTACAACGACATGGTGTTGGCATCTGTCACTAAGATGGGTATATGAACAGAATCAGCTGATAAGGTTAGTATTAAAACTGAACTAATGTATGTAATTGCTACAAAATATAAGGCTCCCTTCACCTTCCTACTGCAATTGTCTACGCTCCGGTCTCCATCTCTAATGATCCACCATCTCTCTCAGACAGGCATTTTCTCCAAGGTCAAATGTCGAGGAATGGACTCTCTCTGCTCGCACCTGTCAGTGAAGACAATACAACAACTATTATCAGCATTATCAGCACGATGGAGATAAACATATCAACTGATGTCCTTGTCAAACGTCTTCAATTCAAACTCTGTACCTTGTTGAATTATACATCGCTAGTAAACTTAATTCTTACTAAGTTCAACATAACAGTTTCGCGCTTGGCTCAAATAGGACACCAGCCTTATTGTCAGTGTTTCATAGCACAATCACCTCATAGCAACCCTATTGTTTGGCAACACTAGTTACCTATGTTCTGTTACCACTTACTCAAACAGTCACATGAAATGTATATTGGTCTCTATTGGGAGGATGGGTACATACAGGCGTAGTTGAGCCATGCTGCCCTGGATGTATACATTCAAATACAAATAAGCACAGACTAAACGTCAGCGTTTCTCTAATGTGTATAATTTAATGTCCAGTGTGCTCTTTACACCTGTGGACCGCCTCCGTGGTGTAGTGGTTAGAGCGTCCGCTCGGAGAGCGGAAGGTCGCGGGTTCGATCCCCGACCGCGTCAAACCAAAAGACGTTAAAATATGGTACTTGTTGGTCCCTGCCTGGCGCTCGGCATTAATGGGTACAACAAGGACTGGTCGGCTCAGAGTCAGTATAATGTGTCTGAGTGGGGTATTCATGCTTCACTGCGGCATGGTATCTCAGTGGGCTAGCACTATAAAACCAGCTTCAGTCTGGGCTAGTACACGTATACAAGCAGCCGCAGATACACATACACACGCATGCACGTCGTCATATAAGCGAAATATTCTCAAGCACGACGTAAAACCCAATTTCACCTCACCTCACCTCTTTATACCTGTTAAGGTTCACATACAGTCCCAAATTCTCCCTTCGTTGCTTATAATTATAATACTTTTATTCGGCATCTGTCAGAAGAATGAATATATACAGATGTGGTTGAGCCATGCTGCTCTGGATGTATTCATTTGATACCTTAAAACAATCTTTGTAATTCAAGTTGGGAGTCTTAAAAGGATTACACTTTATGTAAGTCAGTTTCATGAAAACGTTCAACATATCTTTGTTAACAATTTCCCATTGTAGTTGCAAATACGATCACCAAAGCCGAATTCAGTCATATTTACGTTACTAAAGGGGTGACATCATAGAACAGGAGATTCAGCAGTTTCAGTTCAAGCTGACATTGCCAGGTCTGTACTGATATTTTGGAGCCGTTAACTTCACAACCTCGTTAAAACTTTGACTATGTCCATACGCCAAGCCTGTTTCCTTATAAATGATTTCATCCCATTGTTCACCAAACCTGAGTCACATTGAACGAACAGTGTTGAATAGACGTTTGTATACTACGTATCTGCATGCTATCTGTAAATTTGGTTTTCAATAAAGTTTAATGATTAAATTCATCGTTTTGTTAACTTTAAACCAGATCACATGTCGTACCAGGAGTCGTCGATCGTCAGGTCGAATTGCACATTTGTGAGCATCACGACCCTGACCGCCCGGTTTACTAATGCCAAACATGTTCGATTGCCATCCCTTCAGAAATGTTAAATACGTCAAGATATGACTGAAACGCTGTACACAACGGCGTCACCCTCTTCAGTAGTGTGCTATTGCTTAGCAGGAGACTTCAGTGGGTTAGTATAGTTTTACGCCGCTTTTAGCAATATTCCTGCAAAATCGCGGCGGGAAACACCAGAAAATGGCTTCACACTGTACCCATGTGAGGAATCGAATCCGGGTCTTCAGCGAGACAAGCGAACGCTTTAACCACTAGACTACCCCACCGTCGGTTATTTAAGTAAAAACAGGACACTTGCAAACTGTAACCTTGATAACCTGAAACAACAAAATGTGCTACATATGTAGCAAAATAATGAGTCTTGGAAGCCACATGAGGTGGAATTTACATCGTGATCAGCCACGTTCTTACGTCTGGACATTCTTTGTGAACCGTATAGGAAAATGATATCAGTTTGGCACAGTTTGGCACATTTATATTTGAGGCATCAATTTCCGTGTTTGAATATTTCAGATTCAGGAACGTGCGATCATGTTCGTGATTCAGTCCTTTCTGGTTTGGCACACGTTACGAAGCAATATCAAGAACTAGACTGTTAGGTCGACACTGTCTGCAGATCCACAACCCATCAGAAACAGTTGCTTGAGTCATTTCATTTCTTTGTGGTTTGTTCTCACCTCAGACCCTTCATGTGACCATGGCTGCGTCAACGCCTTTGGGTTGCTGGAAACGGATTCAATATTTTGACGGACCGCCTCCGTGGTGTAGTGGTTAGAGCGTCCGCCCGGAGAGCGAAAGGTCGCGGGTTCGACCCCCGACCGCGTCATACCAAAAGACGTTAGAATATGGTACTTGTTGGTCCCTGCCTGGCGCTCGGCATTGATGGGTACAACAAGGACTGGTCGGCTCGGAGTCAGTATAAATTGTCTGAGCGGGGTATTCACGCTTCACTGCATCATGGTATCTCAGTGAGCTAGCACTATAAAATAGATTTTATCCGTTATGAAAATAGAACAGGTTTTGCATTTTTATGTCACATAATTAATATGTTTATGATTCGAAAGGAAAATGTCCATTAACCTTTCTGAACATTGTTTAGAGTTTGTAAATGAATCTTTGTCTTTATATAGAATGTTAAGTTATAATATGGGGTACTACAATAAAAGGGGTTATCACCAAAACATGCTGTCATGGTTTAGGAATTGCCGTCACAAAGGGTGTGTGAGACCCCTTTTAACCGTCAAAACAGAACAATGCAGATCAAAATAAAATAAAAATAAATAGATAAATACAAATTTGATTCAATTTTAATATCAACATTCATCATTAAAAAAGGGGTGCATTCATTTTCACCCGAGTTTCATTTCATGTACATGTACATGTAATATATCACCTGTTATGATTTCACGAATTTGAACAGCAAATCAGCATCACAGTGTCGTGTCACTATCGGGATACACTAAAAGTTTCACGAGAATATCACACGGAAAATAAGTCAACTAAAAGAAGTCCTTGATACATGTCTGCTTGGGTTTTAAACAAAATTTCAAGTCCTTTTCTCCGACATAATTTGCTAGCATGGAGAATCCTGTCAACACTGTTGTTCCATCAGACTGTGACAACACCAACTGCCTGATAACTTCAAGGGCATCACGGTATCTCTATTCTATAGTTACAGGTACAATTCAGATACATGTGTGAGGTTTGATTTGTTTTTGACTGCCCGGGCCAAGTCGGACTGAACAGAGACTAAACACTTTTGATTGAGGCTATGTTGGGAATTGAGAGAGAAAAGGGCTTCACTTTAACGAACCAGTTATCTGTACATGTGGCATTTTGTGACATTACAACGGAATATTTAGGTAGATATAATACTAATTTATGGATTTAAACACAATTCAAGATACACGTGTTAGGTTTAAGGTGCTTTTCACGGCCCGAGCCAACCGGACCGAACATTAGTGGCGGAGATTATATTGAGAGTTTGGGGTAGAGATCGTTTCATTTACAGGTGGACATGCATTACATTCGATGAACAGTGACCTTCTGGGGTGGTATTTGGATATAGATGTAAAAAACATTTTCGGTCCGACGGAAATGTGTATCGGGATTGACTGAAGTATTTGTGCGTTATACATCCTGTTCCGTCTTCTGAGGGTTAAGCGATTTACTCATAATATAGTGATTATGGTTCGCGTTTGAGGCTTCTGGGTGATCACTATTATCATGAGTGTATCCTGCATTAATTAATTGTAGGCATGGTTTTTGATAATTGATTTATTAGCCAATGATATAGTTGGCCCGTCTTGGCCCGGCCCGGCCCGAGTTTTAGGCCATCCCGTGATAAATGTTGAATATGATATCAGTAGTGTATCTGCAGTTAAAGGCTCTATGTATTCCTTCTGGCGAAATACAGTTCGAGCAGGGACAGGAAGAGCAACACCGTCAGTGGCTTCCGGAGCCTGTCTATATAGTGATACACTTCACCATCATTGTTTCAGTATTCCCGAGAGCATCGTCACTGTTCCGTGACTCAACACTTAATGTGTATATACTAGAACGCTATCTGTCATGGCACGGCATCCGCCTTACAGCAGAGTCAGATCGCGTGGGGACCCTGGAGATGAGTGAGTGAATTACGTTTTACGCCGCTGTTAGCAACATTCCAGCAATATCACGGCGGGGGACACGAGAAATGGGCTTCACACATTGTACCCATGTGGGGAATCGAACCCGGGTCTTCGGCGTGACGAGCGAACGCTTTAACCACTGGGCTACCCACCGTCCCCTGCTTGAGACGACATGAAGTTAGTAAGTGAATGGTGTTCTACAGACCGCATCAGGGTGTGCCGTCTTTTTCACGATAAATTAACCTGCGAAGATAGGTCCTTGTCATCGTCGGAGCAGCAGATTCATTGTGGACCTGTCGTGTCTCCATGGGATGTACAGAGTTGTTTTAAGCTATTTGAACATAATTTTATTATCTAAACGTCCCGTCAACGTCGTCTGACAGGAAAGCCCGAGGTCATAAGGATCGTTCACGTTTATCGAGTCCGCACCCCTATCTCCTATATGACTTAGCCAACTTCTGGTGTTTCCCGCTGTGACATTGCTGGAATATTGCAAATGGCGGCACACTTACCCTGAGACGTTTTCCACGTTGGTGCCCACGAGCATGGTGGGCACTGAAAAAACAGTGATCAAGAGATTAAAACCCCAGAACGGGAATGTACCATGTCTGGAATTCCTGGCCAAGATTACGAAATGAATTGCATCCGTCCATTATTGGGTCCACAGTTTTCTGTCCGTGATGTCAACATTGACACAACTACATAACGATAGTAAAGCTATGGCCCCGGGGTCAGCCGCCGTGCGAGGGTCAAGTCCTAACCAATACATGTACTCTCTATTTATCCCTGAAGCTAATCTGTGTCGGCCTGGCCCGTACACACGCGATGTCACGAAGGGGCCAGCAGGTAATTGTGTGTAACACTTGTATTGAGGCTGCATGAAGTGTTCAGCGGGTAATTGTGTGTAACACTTGTATTGAGGCTGCATGAAGTGGCCAGCGTGCAATTGTGTATAACACTTGTATTGAGGCTGCATGAAGTGGCCAGCGTGCAATTGTGTGTAACACTTGTATTGAGGCTGCAGGCAGCTGACACACACTGTCCTGCTGGCCATGGCAATAAACCCAGCTGCCGTTATCTAATTTGTGCTGACATATGTTTCCTGGATCTACACCACAATGCTTACCTCGGGAAAGATGTAAAACATAAAATTGATTGAGAGCTGAAAATATCATCTTACAGAATACGGATATGTTGTTCAAGCAGAGACCATATAGTTCATGGTGGTGTTTTTCAACGTATGTACATTGTGACTGTAATGATAGGTGGTTTTCATCTACGACTGGCATAACGACCCTCCTAGGGATATCTCATTGCTGACCCTCCCTTAATCCTTGTCACTGGGTCAGGACCCCGACTTACAACAAGTCCCCAGTAACCTGTGTACAACTGGTGACGACCAAACTAACACGTGACGCACCCAGGTGGTTTTCTTTGTTTATGGTGTATTGTCAATCCTTGGCTAAGAATAGCTTTCCACAAATGTAAATATCGGTTGTGATGGGACCGTCAAATCAGCTGGTATAATCAGAAGTTATCTATTTTTTATAAACAAACTGATGGGCTATTTATTATTTTTTTCGAATGGATTATACAGTATGTCTGTACACAACAGTACTTACTGTAGCAGACAAACCCCAGTTACTTTAGGGGCTTTAATACTACAGTCCGTTTGAGTCAGAAACGGACCGATGAATTGCAAATTTTATCATTGTACAAAATTGCCACATAAATATAAATAGTACACATGTTTATCATTTACTAATGCCTAACAGCTTTCTTATATTTGAAAATTTTCCGGACTCCACCAAAAAAGTTCTTTAAGATACTATCATTAAAATTTTGACACAGTTCACTATTTGTTACGAGGGGAGGACTGCAGAGAAAGGGACAGCCAGGTGTGCGAGAAAGGATGGAGACGGCACAGCACAGGCTAATGAATCAATAACTTGGTGGGCACTTGTGCACGTGCTTCTCTAACACCTGGCTGCGATTGCAATTCATCGGTCCGTTTCTGACTCAAACGGACTGTGTAGTATAGGTATAGATCCATGTCTAGCTTATCTAAACTCTGCAGTACGTCAACACAAGAGCAGTTGCATAACAGCATTGTACATGTATATAAAGGAAAGGAAGGCCCGTTCAGCACATTGTCATCATGTTCCTACAGTCAACCTTACTTTCACTGTGCGCCACGGCAGCACTGTGGGGAGTAGTTTACACCGTCGTTGATGATGTTGCAGTGGACGCTGTCATAAACGCTGGGATGGGATGTCACCAGACACCTGGGTTAGCTGTGGCAGTGGTGAAAAATGGCAATGTCGTCATGTCGCGGGGGTTCGGTGTTAGCAACATCGCCGCAGCAACGCCCGTCACTAACACAACGTTATTTGGAATAGCGTCGTTGTCTAAAGCGTTCACCACCACGTTGCTCAGTAAAATACTCAAAGACCGCACAAGGTAGGAAAACATACCTTTTACAATGAATTATTAATAATCAATGTGTTCAGAAACAGACGTTATGGGGGCTCGTTTCCTGATAGTCATAGGAAGATGGCTTTGAGAATGCAGTTATCTGCACGAAACGAAATGTCAATTTTTTTAGGTTTTAATAGTGTTGGTATTGGTGGAAATATTTACGTTTTCGAATGGTTTGCGCACGTTTGACATATATCAGATACGATTGGCGCCTATACGTTTTGAATGATCAGAGAAACACAAGCGGAATCAGTGGGTTGCATGTCATTTTTCCTCTCATGACAATATGCAGGCATCAGTGCTCAATCAAACCATGTGAAATATATTTGAAACTTAAGGACACCTTACTAATTTCATCTCAGCAGGTGCTCGGTTCTCCTGTGAAGTTGTCAACAAATTCATAGCTCGTTAACTTGAACAATGGATGCTAAGTAGATTAGCGAGGGATATCTAATTGCTTTTGGACAAGGGGAAGATTTAGTCTAAGTTTGTTTGTAACTTAATCACAGTGGACTATTTGTGGGTTGAATGATCACACAAGAAGGAGCCCACTTGTTTGGACAACCCAAATATTTTGCCAGGGAATATTTAAAATAAAAGTTTGCTTTTACGATAACGTTCACAAGAACATCCATGCCTCCGTTCTAGTTATACTTGATGGTATAAACTTATAAATAACAAACTACACAGGTTTATGGTTCATTCAGCGAAAATCCTTCTTCAACTACGGAAAAAGGTGTTCGTTCAGTCGGCCCCAAGGCGGAGCTGGTTCCGCACGATATCAACAATTCGGTACTATGGTTTTCGCAGCATCGGGTCTACATCACTTATATATTGAAAACATAACACCACCTAGAGAGGACAGTTCTTTATTCCGACCAATATGTTGTACATGTGTAAACAAAATAAGCAATACCTTTGAAACAATGAAGATAACAAGAAACAACACTTGACACAAACAAATTCTCATATTTCTGATAAGCCATCAAAACTCTCACCTATAAAGTCAATATGACAAACTCTAACTGGGTAAATACAGTCTTAAAAAAACGAACGGCAAGAATTACGAACAACATTTATAAATATGTGATGTACTGAGAGCATACATTGAAACACGGATATAAATCGACTATAGAACAAGAATTCTGTTTGTTTTCTTTGTGTATACATGGACACGTGGACAAATATATAAATATAGCTACAGTTGAATACACTGACTAAACCTTACTTCAAGTTACACAATAGTCAAAAAACACGTTAGTAAAATGAAAACGGAAAACAGTTTGTGTCCGCCACCCGAGAAGAATGTTCGGGTAATACATCCCATTGGTGAGAAGAATGAAGAAAGAGAGATAGCGAATTATAGACTAGCAACACGGATTCTATGGAATCCTGGAAGGGACATTGTCGCGTTGTCGCATTGTCGCCCTCTCAAATACAAGCAAAATGAGGCAAAATTAACCAAAACGCGACACGCGACACGCGACATCGCGACAATGCGACAAATGGGCGAAATGTCGCGTTGTCGCGATGTCGCGTGTTGGTTTATTTTGCCTCACTTTACTTGTTTTTGAGAGGGCGACAATGCGACATATAGCGACAATGGCCCTTCTCGGATTCCATAGGATTCAGTTCAGCGGTAAGGAGGCAATACTATCTAGTTCTGGCCTTTCTGAATCTGGTGGCCAGGAGGACTCATCAGGCCAATACAGTCGCGACGTGGAGCCGTGTGGCTGGGCTACTGGTATTGTCTCACAGAAAAGTGATACAATATTGTCATACGAATGAGTAGTAAGATGTAATGAAATATTCCTTTTGTGACCATAAAATTCTTCCATAATGTCTGAAAGGAGACAGTCGAACATTATGGACTCGTGACTCAATCGGCTTGCGCCCAATTTCAAATAAGTGGTACCAGAATAATGGCAGATGAATGGTAACAATAACCAAAAAATGGGTAGTGGATATCCCATCTGTTAAGGGCTTAATTAGCCGGCAATGGAAAAGCAACCCCACAATGTTGTAACACCACGATAACATTAATAATAACTGACTGACTGACTGACTGACTGACTGAGTTTGGTTTTACGCCGCTTTTAGCCATATTCCAGCAACATCACGGCGGGGGGACACCAGAAATGGGCTTCACACATTGTACCCATGTGGGGATTCGAACCCGGGTCTTCGGCGTGACGAGCCAACGCTTTAACCATTAAGCTACCCCACCGCCCCATTAATAATAACAGTGACCACAATCATGACCGTTACTCCCTCGCCACGTCCCGGCGTACTTCTTGCGTATTGAGCGTATTACTCAGCACCAAGGTTTGATATCAGGTTACAAACATTGTCAATAATACCAAAGTATGCCCGATATATTTCAAAGGTCTCGAAATCAAGAGATATGTTGTATGAAAGGCAAACATCCCCAATACCATTTCGTCATGTTTGGAGTATGTGTCATTTGCATCACTTTAAAAAAAAACTACTAACAAAATTGAGGCATTGTCATTTATTTCCATTATGTTTAGACTTGTATAAAACTGTACACTAATATTTATTCATCCCGTTATGTTGAAACACCATTATGAACACATATTATGGCCAAACATGTCGCATATATAGACATGGTTGCGCATGCCAGTATCATTGTCCATGGCTTACGTCGCCTGTGTACATAGAAGAGAGCAAGTCCAAACACTATTTGAAACACGTAGAGTGAGTGAGTTCAGGTTGACGCCGCACTCAGCAATATTCCAGCTATATGGCGGAGGTCTGTAAATAATTGAGTCTGGACCAGACAATCCATTGATCAACAGCATGAGCATCGATCTGCACAATTGGGAACCGATGATATGTGTCAACCAAGTCAGCGAGCCTGATCACCCGATCCCGTTAGTCGCCTCTTACGACAAGCATGGGTAACTGAAGATCAATATTCTAACCCGGACCTTCACGGGTAGTTTGCAAATAGTACTTCGTTCTGTTGAAAGTAGTGTGTAATTCTCGTGTTTAATCACAATGTGTGAAGCCAATTTCTGGAGTCCCCCGCCGTGATATTGCCGGAATATTACTTAAAGCGGCGTAAAACTAAACTCAGTCAGTCAGTCGTGTTTAATTCTGCAGTACACAATAAGCCAAAGCCATTTACGTCAGTAATCGTTCAATAAAACGCAAAGTGACATTTGCTTTGGGGGTATTATTCCCTCTTTGAAAATAACATCAAACACTATGTTAGATACCAAGTTGGATACTGAGTTGATATGACTTGATAAATAGAACAAGTGTCCATATAGACAGAACCCAGTCCGGTGATTTCACCGTTATCTCTATCACACACACAACACAACGGAAGTCCGCTCCCCGTCTGTATCAACCCCTTGTCCTGGCGTCTACAGGCCCACAGTAAATTGTGTTGAGGGAACGAATATAAATAAAACCGACAAGCTCTGAAACATAACGCACGCCCAGTGTTTTACGTTGCATCTTCATATCAGTGAGAAAATAACGCAGCAATTGCTGTCCAATCAGACAGCCATTAAACATTTCACTCACAGACATGGCGCTCCACGCTGACATAAAAGAGTTCTCGTTTCATTTTGTCGTGTCGGAAAGACAACACCCCGTTTTCGTTTAATTTCATGGACGTTCAGCAGTCGTTGACAGTCTTTTAATACGATGTGCAGGTTTTTCATCAACACGAATGTGTACAAGATCCTGGGTCGGTACAAGTTCAACAACACCCTGCGGTCTGTGTACGCCACAGTGGAGGACTTGATGGCGCACAGGATGGGCATCCCCAGGAACAACTACCTCCGGCTGGACGACACCCTCACTCGGGACAACCTCCTCAGGTGAGACACGTGATTGGTTGTTTCTAACACTGAAACAACCTGTCGGTAATTCTAAAGCCTTACTCGTCACCCGGGGTGTGATCCCACAAGCGGTGAGTAACACACTTCATGTATGGTGGTACGGCTGGAATATTACCATAAGGGGAATATATCTCATGAATTTGTAAAATACTCGATTCTGATAGGTCAATCAGAGGTTATAATGGCCACTACAGTTCGGGTTCTTTTATATGGTCCCCCATTTGAAAACAGACCCTACAGAAAATCCTAATGTTTCCACAATAGCACAGCCCTTCGGTGTAGATGCCATTACACCCAGTAAAAACGATTGGGCATTAACGTGTTTATTTTATTTAATATTATCTATTCGTAGCGCTGCCGGTTAAACGTTTGTCTTGGAGAAACATCAATCAAAGCTCTTCTGAAAGCTCGAACCAAGAACACGGAATATTTCGCCCTGATTGGCTGATCAGAACGTTTACCTGAAATGACCTCTTATGAATGATTTGCCAGATCTTTCTCAGAAACATCTCGAATCGTTATAAAATATCTGTCTAAGGTCGTATGTAGGGTGTTGGTAGGTACGGTTTATAGCAGGAGATGTAAGGGGACGTTCTGTCCACGTATTTTCATGTGAAAAGTAACAGTCCTACTCTCTTTGTCTGTCACAAGTCGTGTCAAGTATCTGAAGAATGTCGGTGGATTCCGGGACAGCTTTGCCTACAGCGACTTGATGTACGGGCTGCTGACCCGCATCACGGAGGCTGTGACTGGCAACGTCTGGGAAGATAACATGATTGAACACATCTTCACACCCCTAGGAATGGACTCATCCACATTTGGTACAAGAGTGAACTTTTCCTCGCCAAATGTAGCGACACCATACGTAATTGAAAATGGACAGATTGTGGAGGCATCACCCCAGTTTTACGGTAGGTATCAGGCTCCATATGGCCAAGTGGGTCCTGGCGACTAGTCGTGCATGAATTATATAATCGTGGGTTCGAATCCTATATTCTCTTTGATTGTGTTTCTCGATTTGTCAGTGCCATACCACTGCTCGTGAGTTCACTTAAGTAGAATACATCTATCTGTTGCATTCACTGAGTTTCCTCCTATGTTTTTAGTTGGATCATCCTCATAGACCTGAATTCTCCTTCAAAGCATCCGTAACCCAACCTCACTCACCAAGTCAATCAACCAGTCAAGCAACCAGTTGTATACTACTGACAAAAAGTATGGGATCTGAAATAAAAAGGTGTCACAACTATTGATATATGAGCTATAAAGTTTGACAGTGCAACAGGTCATCTGACTGAGATTAGTCGTTGAACATACATTCTGTTCTGACTGGCCAAAGCCCTACTGTCCATCACGTCATTTACCATGGAATGTCAATCTCAATGATGTCGCGTTAATCCACCTTTAACCTCAAGGCAACCCCGGATTCGACTACGCATACTCCTAAACATCCAATGTCAAGGGGCGGTGGGGTAGCCTAGTGGTCAAAGCGTCCGCTCGTTACGTCGAAGGCCCGGGTTCGATTCTCCACATGGGTACAATTTGTGAAGCCCATTTCTGGCGCCCCCCGCCGTGATATTGCTGGAATATTGCTAAAAACATCGTAAATCCATGCTCAGTCAGTTAGTCAGATAGTCCAATGTCAAATTGCTTCATTCTTTCCGATTCTTCATGCAGGACAGCGCCAAGTTCATTGAGAGTGGTCAGTGTTTGTTGACGTCCAGGAATACCCCAGACATGTTCGATGTGTGACAAGTCTGGACTGAGTGCTGGCCATGGTAAAATGATCTTGTGCTCTTGTGTAAGGTACTAAGTAACAAGCCCTGTGTGCTCTTGCTTTGTCATCCAGAAACACAAAACGACGTCCATGTCGGCGCGTAAATGATACCACGTGTGCTTCGGGGATGTTGTCACGGTAGTCCTGCCTAGTGATACGTCAGTGAATAACATGTACAGGTGCACTTCCGGTCACAGTGATCCCACCATACCCAATTACTGAGCCACACCCGAAACAGTCGTTCTGTCTAACGTTAACGATACAAAACCCCTTTTAGTCACACTCTGGTACCCTTGTCATCCAAGACCATAGTAAACCTTTATTCATAAGAAAACAAAACGTTTAACTTTGCTCAACGACGATTGCTCCGGCACTGCCGCACTTGACACTGTTCTCTGTTTTCTGTTTTGACACCAACGACGTCTTGCCGGCCCGTCAATCGTCGGGCAGCATGCATGTTCCATGTGCGGTCGATTACGATTAGTTTGTCTTCTCACTCTAACACGTGTAGCTCTGTGAAGCTCATTTCCTCTTTGGGAGGCACTTTGACCACGGATTCCTAACACAGTGGTTTAGGTGAAACGGTCTTGTTTGTCAGTTGTCTCCCTTGATCGACCAGATCGACGTCTTTTATCAACGTTATTGTGTGCTAATAACTAAAACGTGAAGAACTAGTGCCACAATGTTCTGTCTCGTTCCAGAGAATCTTGCTATTCCTACTGTGACAGACGCCGTTCAATTACTTTTAAAAGTGTAAGAACAATAAATTACAGTCTGGTTTTATCTCTGAAAAGTACAGTACACTGAAACGTTTCACTTTAAATATCGAATTTTACTCCGACCATGTCCACGTGCACATCATGAAAAAAACGCTTGCACGAAATTAGTGTGTTTCCACTTTGGACTTTGTGAAAGGAATATTCATTTTCTAAATCCATTATAATCATACATACACCAAAGGAAAAGTACCTGTGCATAGCATAAAATTGCATAAAATAAAAGTTATTTGAAAAGTTTTAAAATAACCCTAAATGAACATGTAGCTAAGCATTGAAAGTTTATGGCACTTATCACTTTGATGAACTTAATCACTTTTGGCATGCTGATATTGAAAATAGAAGAACGATTGATTATTCTCTAGTCCCAGCTGAATGTTGTGGAAAACAGGCTATTTTCAACATACACTGCACGTACGTCATGCTATGGCTTACAGAAAATCAGCGTGGGTATGCTGGAGACTGGAATGGCCCAAAATGAAGTGGCATGACATTTTGGTATCCATCGAAACACGGTCTCATCTCTATGGAGACGTTTTCAACATAATGGCAACACGAGAGATTTGCCTCGGACCGACCGTCCACGTGTGACGTCACGTCAGCAAGACAACCACATTTGGCTGACCCATCTAAGGAATCGATTCCAGACTGCCAGTTTGACTGATCGGATCTTTCCTGGCCTACGTCCAATCAGTTCCAGGTCTGTACGGTACCGACTGAGGGAACACAAAATCCGGTCCCGACAGGGGACAATACGTCCAATTGTGCCCCAACGTCACAGACAGGAACATATTGCCTGGTACAGAGAGCATTTACGATACAAGACACAAGAATGGGATGGTGTTTTGTTCACTGACAAGTCAAGATTTCATCTGGACAGTTCAAATGGCTCGTCAAGGGTGTACAGGTGGCGAGGTATGCTTACGCGTGCGTTGTTCAACGTCGACAGTTTGATTGCGACAGGGTTATGGTATGGGCAGACATGACATCTCATGGTCAGACACAAGTTGTTATGGTCAATGGCAATCTGACAGGTCTGCAATACAGGGATCAGGGTTGTCAAGCCTGCATTAACGCCAATTGTTGACACACACGGTACTGAATTTGTGAACTGACTTTTGACACTATATCTCTTTCAAGGGCATGTCACGATGCCTAGTATAAAATCATACAGATTTCGATATTATTCTGTCAACAGTTAAACAGTGATAAAGGAAAACAACACAACTCATGGTATAACATCAAGTAATGCACAGTTACTATATACTATAGAATATATAATCTGAAATTATCTTTAAGAATGAACTAAATACTATACTAAGCTATTCCCAAACATCCAACAGGCACTGGGCAATGCTGGGTGGATCTGGGTCTGTGGTCAGCAGCGCAGACGACATGGCCAAGTGGATGTTGTTCCATTTGAGTGGCGGGAAAAACCGCCAGGGCAACCAAGTGGTGGCGGAAAATCTGCTCAAGGAAACATACAAACCCAGGAACGCTCTCGCCACCAGCACCATCAACACGTATTTCAGCAAACCGAAAACGCCTGTGACAATGAGCAACGACGGTTACGGCCTAGGCTGGAAGAGCGGATATTACAGAGGTGAGTTTACATTCCTTTAACACCCGTGAACTTGTCTTCTGTAACGGTATCTTCCCATAAGACAGACCTCCCAAAAACAGACCGCTTAAAACAACACATTTTATGGTTGGTTGCCTAAGGCTTATTTAAGCTGTACCCTTGATAATAATGGTATGTGCCCAGATAAAAAAGACAGCATTTGGTATTAACTATATAGTTTTATCAATTCAAGTAATGAATTATGATTCTTAAATTAAGGCATATTGCATCAATATATATGTACATCAACATACTGTTCTCCAGTTATTTGCAAAAAACTAATTCATCAACAACTGTTATAAAAACGTCCTATTCTCCATTTATTTATACTTGTATTATACTTGAATAAATACATTAATTTTATAAGAGGTTCAAATGTGGTTCCGAGATATTCAGGTAGTGCTATTGATGGTAATATTGTTATGAATAAATACATTATCAATACTGACTTTTTTAGCTTTGACTTATTTTCCTATGACTTACTTTCCTCCCCAAATCTATGACTTTTTTCCTATGACCTTTTTTCCTACAACCTCTAGAAGTACTTGGGGCGCACCTTTCTGGGATGGGACATACTCTGCTCTTCTTAGGCCAGCCATATCGAAATAAGACAATTTTGTAACCATGCACATATATATATATATATATATATATATATATATATATATATATATATATATTATAACAAAGATAGAACACAGGAGATAGGAGTGTGTTGTTACCATACCATACTCTGTAGTGACTCTGGGTCAGCTCATTAATTAAATAGGGGTGGACAGCTTGGCTCAGCTAATTAGTTACTCATTGAGTCTGCCTTTTGGGAGGTCTGGCTTTGGCAGGCTTCTGTAACCCATGCTTGTGGTAAGAGGCGACTATAACGGGATTGGGTGGTCAGGCTCGTTGGCTTGGTTGACACATGCTTTGTCTGGTCTAGACACAGTTATTTACAGACCGCTGCCATATTGCTGGAATATTGCTGAGTGCGACGTAAAACTAAACCCCACTCAATTTCCTTTAACATCATATGCAACATAAATTATCGAAAAGAAAGTTGGCAACTAAAAATTAAATTGGTGAAAGACAAATACTTCCACCTCAACCCAAACCCAGTCCCCAAACCCCGCAGAATACGAAACCGTGTAATGACTGAACACAGCATGGGCGTTTTGAAAAAGTGATTTTTGCCAAAAACAAGTGATTTGCGTGTGTAGAAATTGCACACGCACATACGGTATAAAAACTGTTCATATGTTAGAGATGCAGTGTTAACAAAAAACTGTAAAGAAATGCCCAGGTTAACACATGAACAGCATGAGGGCCATAGGAATGCTGCAAATAGGGGCACAACAACACTTATCGTGAGTGCAGTTGGGATACGCATCTTCCCGAGGGAAGTAACTGCCCTTGTAAGTCCAGTTTCAAACCACATTCCGGCGCAGTGATGACTTAGCATAACATCACTGCCACAGGCTAATTTGCATATCACGTGACCGGACTTTTCTCTTGTTTGTAAACCGAAAACGCCTGTGACAATGAGCAACGACGGTTACGGCCTAGGCTGGAAGAGCGGATATTACAGAGGTGAGTTTACATTCCTTTAACACCCGTGAACTTGTCTTCTGTAACGGTATCTTCCCATAAGACAGACCTCCCAAAAAACAGACCGCTTAAAACAACACATTTTATGGTTGGTTGCCTAAGGCTTATTTAAGCTGTACCCTTGATAATAATGGTATGTGCCCAGATAAAAAAGACAGCATTTGGTATTAACTATATAGTTTTATCAATTCAAGTAATGAATTATGATTCTTAAATTAAGGCATATTGCATCAATATATATGTACATCAACATACTGTTCTCCAGTTATTTGCAAAAACTAATTCATCAACAACTGTTATAAAAACGTCCTATTCTCCATTTATTTATACTTGTATTATACTTGAATAAATACATTAATTTTATAAGAGGTTCAAATGTGGTTCCGAGATATTCATGTAGTGCTATTGATGAAAATATTGTTATGAATAAATACATTATCAATACTGACTTTTTTAGCTTTGACTTATTTTCCTATGAGTTACTTTCCTCCCCAAATCTATGACCTTTTTTCCTACAACCTCTAGAAGTACCCGGGGCCCACCTTTCTGGGATGGGACATACTCTGCTCTTCTTAGGCCAGCCATATCGAAATAAGACAATTTTGTAACCATGCACATATATATATATATATATATTATAACAAAGATAGAACACAGGAGATAGGAGTGTGTTGTTACCATACCATACTCTGTAGTGACTCTGGGCTAGCTCATTAATTAAATAGGGGTGGACAGCTTGGCTCAGCTAATTAGTGTACTCATTGAGTCTGTCTTATGGGAGGTCTGCCTTTTGGGAGGTCTGGCTTTTGGCAGGCTTCTGTAACCCATGCTTGTGGTAAGAGGCGACTATAACGGGATCGGGTGGTCAGGCTCGCTGGCTTGGTTGACACATGCCGTTGTCTGGTCTAGACACAGTTATTTACAGACCGCTGCCATATTGCTGGAATATTGCGGAGTGCGGCGTAAAACTAAACCCACTCACTTTCCTTTAACATCATATGCAACATAAATAATCGTAAAGAAAGTTGGCAACTAAAAAATTAAATTGGTGAAAGACAAATACTTCCACCTCAACGCAACCCAAACCCAGTCCCCAAACCCCGCAGAATACGAAACCGTGTAATGACTGTACATAGAGTTTTGCATGGGCGTTTTGAAAAAGTGATTTTTGGCAAAAACAAGTGATTTGCGTGTGTAGAAATTGCACATGCACATACGGTATAAAAATTGTTCATATGTTAGAGATGCAGTATTAAGAAAAAACTGTAAAGAAATGCCCAGGTTAACACATGAACAGCATGAGGGCCATAGGAATGCTGCAAATAGGGGCACAACAACACTTATCGTGAGTGCAGTTGGGATACGCATCTTCCCGAGGGAAGTAACTGCCCTTGTAAGTCCAGTTTCAAACCACATTCCGGCGCAGTGATGACTTAGCATAACATCACTGCCACAGGCTAATTTGCATATCACGTGACCGGACTTTTCTCTTGTTTGTAAACAAACGCGCATATTCATAAAAAGAAGAGACTGGCTTTACGCAAGCTTTTCGGCGCGCTCTTTATAATGTTTTACATTGTTACATATATATTATTCCACAACTGCGACAGTAAGGTTTATGACAGTACACATTTAGATATCAAACTGGCTGCATCGTTTGCTCTGCGTCCGCTTCGATGACAGCACGTGGAGCCGTACAACCTATGTAAACAAAGGATCGGTACGCAAATCGAAATAGTGTTATACGTTTTAGGATATTTTCTCAGTGGAACTAAACCATTCTATCAAAGATGTTTAATTAGATGTGTAGACTCGTCAAAAATAAAAGAGTTAAGAAATATGTACATTATATTGAATGGACTGTGTAACATGTGACGAATCGTCACATCTTTCTGGCCTGTGGCAGAGGAACTATGCTGGGTTGCCGGATGGAACTCTGGGTAGGAGATTGGTTTCAAACCGGAGACCGGCGAGTTCGGAAATGTTGATAGTCGCTGTTTTGGCACACATTGGGCTAGATACTGTTCCATTTCTATCTTTTAGAATTAAATATACTAATTGATAATATCAAGTTACATTTAAATTACGGTCAGTTGATAATATTGGCTCATTTCACCATATTTTTTTTTTCTGTTTGGTGGAGTGCTGTTGCAGGAACTTCTCGCCAGACGCGACATTTTCTGTGGTTGTTTTGGCGAACGCTTCGTTGTTCGTCGATATGGATAGTGATATTTACGAGCATGGGGGATGGTAATATCCTAAACATATTCGAAACATCTACCGAAGCAGAATATGCCGAAAATTATATGACAATGGGATAGAAAAAAACACCCAAAGCACGTGTCTCAGAACGAATGTTTCTCTTCACCAATTAATTAGAGACTTACCCTTTAAAAATGAGTCCACTCTCTTTGGTGCATGACATTAACAAATTATAGGTGATATATGAGTTGGTTAAAAAAATAAAACAAGAAAAAGGTAGCCTAGCGGTTCACTGCTGTGAGTGCAAAACAACTGATCAGTTAAAGGGAGGCGTGGCCTTAACGTTAATTTGTGACGATTATGTCAGGGGCAGTTGATGTGCCAAGAGATATCTTGCATAGTGTACATGTTGACAAATAATAATTGCAAGAGCTCTCGTTTTCCTCACTATCTTGCATTGGAACGTTTGGAAAGTCTTGGTGCGCATGGAGACGATGTTGAAGACTGACATTATTGGAAACGTTTCTGTAGCCTGAAAGTACTTTGAAAATTAATAGTTTTACTAGTAATCCTAACCCAAACAATCCTGGTAGGATGCGCTATTATATTAAATCCATTAAATTATATTATGGTGATAAATCATAGTAATTAATGCATAAACACTGGCAAACTTAGTGTGAATGATTATATGAAAATTGTTGAGTCACCTTATGGTCTATATCTCTGGTGAATCCAGTCATAATGAATTGTTGGGCAGAGATGAATCAGATTTGTTGAAGCAGTTTTGAAAATATCTAGAACTCGTCAGCTCCTCCTCCCAGAAAACAAGTTCTGAAAAAAGTCAAACCTGAACGTAAGAACATTGATGTCAGCTCCAGTGTCATCAATTCAACGTTGTGTGATTCTGAATTTTGCAACTATGACGTCGGTAACAGGTCGTTGAGAGCACAACTGACAATAATGTTGACGGTCACTGAAACCGTGTTGCAGGAATACCAATGGTACAGCATTCAGGCACTACATTCGGCTACCGGAGTTTCCTGACTCTCGTCCCCGACAAGAACCTGGGTGTGTTCGTGACTATGACGGGCACTGACCCCAACTACTGGTTCCGGGGGTCGCTCAGCGCCTACCTGATGGACGTGCACCTGGGAAGGACGCCCTGGATTAACACCACCACCATCTGCTCCTTCCCCGACCCCTGGCGCACACGGAGACGTCCCAGAACACGTCATCGCCGAACAAGGGTCACCAGTTATGTAAGTTGGAACGTGGCAATATGATCAAGCTTAAGAGGGGAAGCGGCAATGAAAAAAGGTAGGTCTCAAGCACCCCTTCCCCCAACGTGGACAATCCCAGACAGGGAACCCCTAGTTTCCCCCTACGTGGACAATCCGGAAGGGTAGGTCATGGGAACCCCTTGTTTCCCCCACGTGGACAATCCGGAAGGGTAGGTTACGGAAACTCCTTGTTTCCCCCACGTCGACAATCCGGAAGGGTAGGTTACGGAAACTCCTTGTTTCCCCCACGTGGACAATCCGGAAGGGTAGGTTACGGAAACCCCTTGTTTCCCCAACACGTGCACAATCCGGAAGGGTAGGTTACGGAACCCCTAGCTTGATCCCAGAGCCAACTGCTGGGTACCGGGTGGTTAGACTGTGGCCTGACTGATGGTGTATCACCGTACCTGGCGATGCAGATAGCTGGTCATTCTGTCAGCCACGATGTTGCATGGTCCAGTCTCGATGACTGCAGGCTGTCGTGATATAGGTTCGATGTAGCTTACACATAGATTTACTAAAAAGCAGAACGAAGAATACAGCTGAAATACATGTGTTAACCTTGATTTTTCATCCTGGTTCAAATCTTGCTTTCAGCAGGCTAGCCTAGCCCTGCCTGCATACACCGGCACATTCAGGAACGAAGCCTACGGGAACATCATCATCCGCTACGACAGCGCGTCTCATCGGCTAAAGGCTGTATATGGTATTGGCAGCTGGGTTCTGACGTCACGCGGCAGCGACACCTTTCGGGCAAACTGGGACAAACCAGCACCAACTTTAGATTTTGACTTCGAGTTCCTCACATCGAATGGAGAAGTATATGCAGTCATACCTAGTTTTGAGAAAACATTGCCCCAGATATTTTTCCGCATCGGCAATGGTAATCTCATTATTGGTTGAACACCTGAAATATTCAGCGGATCTATTTTCTTTTTTTATTGGGCCAAACAACACGTTCCTTTATTTATACGCTTGTCTTATGGTTTTAATCTGAAATTTGGTTTCCTTGAAAGTAGTTCGGCCACAAGCCACAAGATGGAAATGCTGTCTATATTTTCTTTTTGTCTTTAGATAAATGAATGTATGGTATTTCATCCCTGAATAAAAAGTTATATAAATATATAAATAAATAGGGGTTTTATGGATCTTCAGATTGTCATTATTCATGTTGATTATCTTCAGTTAACATCTACGTGACATGGTTGTACCACACGTGTGCTTCTAGAATAAGGCTGCAGAAATACAGAGGGTGGCGCCCACGTGACATTAGTGATAATGTCCCACAGCAGCGTGTATGTGTGTACGTTTACAAAATAGCAGTACAGATTTACATTCCTTCTCCGCAGTTATCTGCATAAGGTTTGCAATTCGATGTCACCATATATATAAACAGTATATATCTATATCTATATACATACATGTGTATGTATGTGTGTATGTATGTATGTATGTATGTATGTATGTATGTATGTATGTATGTATGTATGTATGTATGTATGTATGTATGTATGTATGTATGTATGTATGTGTGTGTATGCATGTATGTATACATGCATACATGTATGTACATACATGTATGTATGTATGTGTACATACATACATACATACATACATACATACATGTATACACACACACACACACACACACACACACACACACACACACACACACACACACACACATACATACATACATACATACATACATACATAGTATTAGGGCTGGATATTGCCCTGATTTTGATATTGCAATAATTTAAGAGATATTGCAATACATATTGTGATATATTGACTGGAAGGTTTCTGCCCAAGTGCGTAAATTATAAATTCATAATAAACTCTTTAAAAAAAAGTATGGGAACCTGAACTTTCAATTTGGATAAGAAGTATCAGCGTTAACAAACGTTTCAAAGCCAGACATCTTATGAACGTACCACCATTTTTTTTATTACCACCCCTAAACAAAACGCATGGGATGCACGTCCACAACGCAGTAGCCCCCATACAGGTGCGTTGAATGTCATTCTTTTGACGGTTTTCAAGAAGGTCGATAAGTCACTGTAGACCATTAATTTTGAGAATCATCGTGCATCACACAGTTGGTAGTGTTTATTTCTTTGCGGGTTTTGTTTTGTTTGAACATGCAAATCGTACATATGCAAATTTCACGTCATACACCAATCATCTTTCAAGACCGATTACTGTACAAACAATTATTGTCATAAGGAAGTGCAAGTGGTGATGCACTCTCTAAACATTATGTATTCATCCGATTGAACTCCCATTTTTTCAATCGGACATTAAAGTGAAGTTCCCCTACATTTTTTTTCAAGAGTATAGCTCTCTGTGTACAACATCATTTTCTTAGTTGCTGTTAAACCATTCTCCCCGTCCCCATTGTGTATGGCTGTATGCCAGTGGCTGACAGATAAATAAAATGATATAGAACCTTAATGTGGAATGTTTAATTGAAGTATTGCAACAAAGATTTGCGAACATAATGATGAAGGTAATAGAATAACATGATTGTCATGATCAGTGTTGTTTGCTTCAACAGAATGCACTTTAAATGTCTTCAATGCAGTAATTATTGTTACTGTATTTCAGTGATTCATTCAGATTCAACTCCAACTTCAATATAAACATCACTGTGTTGACATGAGCTTTTGCAAAATGAAACAAAAACATAATTTAGGTAAACTACTTGAGCTTAAAATCTCATGTTGCCTCCAATAACTAAGATCCTGGACTAGAATGTCATTATACAGGCGTACAAAATTGATTAGACTGAGGCCTTTATGATAAATTATTATTAGTTTCTTATTATTGTATATTTATATAGCGCACATATCCACGCAGTAGTGCATGCTTAAGTCGCTGGTATTTTTGCCCCGATCATTGGATGTCAATCTCAACGGCACATCTTATTATCAATCTCAACTCCATGAGGATCATACAACTCTTGCTGCCACTAGGCGCACTGAGTTAATGTGACTTCCCCATCCTTACGAGGTAAATTGATAATGTGTCCTATTATGAAACAAACAAAAAACCCAAAATAATGAGAATTGTGAAATGGTCACTCAGAACCAGAGGCTCTACTAATATGTCCAGATAATAAGTGGGTCCAATTGAGGCCACTTAATTCCTCCAAAATGACACATATGAAACCATTCAAACCCGCAAAACTTAAAGCATCTGGTAGAATATTTGGCAGTTTTAGAGCCACTTCCAAGATACTTCCATTTGTAAAATGTTACATGAAACCAACAGAAATACATAAGTACATTTGGCACTTTTAGAGCACATGTTGTTGCTATCGAAATCAAGGGCAGATAATTCAAAGGGAGCTAACTCTGGATGACCCAATATATTGCAGAATCTGAACCATATCGCGATAATCATATCGCGAGATACTGTACCGGTAATATTGCACAGCCACACACACAGCCACACACACACACAGCACAAACACACACCACACACGCGCGCGCGCACACACACACGCCGCACACACACACACACACACACACATACATACATAACATATAGGTAGTGTTTTAAGTGACGATACTGTGGTCTCAGCACATTGACGCGCACTGTTCACAGTTGGGAGTGACAATGCCAGCTAAGGGTACAGAACATGTCAATGTACGGTATAACCCGGTATCCGTGTAATAAGTCTGTCATTACTCAAACTAAGAACACGAGTCCTGATAAGGTTGCGTCGCTCTAATATCTTGATGTGAACACGTTGTATATATATCAGTCTCTCAACTAATACCCGGTGTTCGTGTCAAACGTTATCATAGGACAGATTTAAAATAGGTGTTGGACCAATAGGGTCACAGTGTGCAGTTCTGTTGTGCTCATCAAATCTACACACCACATTCGATAAGCCTGGATCCTGTCCAAGGCGTGCATTGCTTTTGTGAAAAACTTCCTTTATCAAAAGACAGACATGTGAAGTAAAATACTGAATGTTGTTTTACGTGCATTCCATAAGCTCAAGCCTTGTCAAAACGTCCGGTATTAAAACAATCTAGGTCGGGGAAACCGATAAGACGATTCCACAACCTTTGACCTGATGAGATAACGTCAGGACGCCATTGTTATGAACGGACCCTTTTTGTCGTCGATTTCTTTGATACAAATGTGGAACTTTGGGGACTCTTCTGCATCGGGGTTCCTACAGAGCCGACGTGAAGGGCCTCTTGATCGGATAGATTCGAGGTCGACCCCAACACTGTCATTAAAAGTTTGCTCGCACCAGATCTGAACTCTTGGATCCTGCAGAAGATCATGGCATGTGGTTTATTGCATGAAACCTAAGTTTTGCAATATTCTTTTGAAAGTATTTCAGTTGTTGGAATAAAAAGCCCAAAGATAAGAGCAGAGGAGATCATGTTTCCATGGGGACCATACGACTCTTGTTCAAAACATGTTTTATCGGGGTTAAAATAGTCATTAGCAAAGAATTCAAGCGTTATTTCGATACAAATGCGCAGGGTATTTTCAAATTGACTATCACTGACCAAAAGTGACACCTGCTGCATTTCCCTATATAGACACATGCACCATGCATTCCTGTGATTTTGTTAGGCAAACAATTGATTTGCCTTTGCATGGGTTTGTGACGAGATGTCACAGGAATATGCGAGGGTTTGTCCATATATTTGTCTTTCGTACCTAATCGTATCCTCCCGGCATGATTCCAAGTTGCAATTGGTCCCATGGAACCTATGCTTGTCCTCTGCGAGGACTTTATGATGGGTTGGTCAGGCGGTCTTCCTCGTTTGTTTGACCTGTGAAGGTCCGGGTTAGAATGAGCCTTCAGTAACCAATGCTTTTCGTAAGAGGCGACTAATGGGATCGGGTGGTCAGGCTCGCTGGCTTGGTTGACACACGTCATCGGTTCCCCATTGCGCAGATCGATGCTCATGCTGTTGATCACTGGATTGTCTGGTCCAGACTCAATTATTTACAGACCTCCGCCATATAGCTGGATTATTGCTGAGTGCAGCGTAAAACTAAACTCGTGGCATTATTTACAGACAACCATAATACATATACTCTCCCAAAAAAGAAACGCATATAGGAATTTCAACTGTATTTTTATGTTTATTTTGAAACATCTTGCAGGCTTTATGAGTCAATGAAATATAGCGAAATTGCACACTGGGAATGCAGACTTATCCGTCTTTGGCACCAACTCGAGGAAAGTCAGTTTGAGTGTCACATGGAGACGTGTGGTGGCGCTGAAGTCAATACCTCGTGTGACCACCGTGGGCATCCAGAACTGCACGGCATCGCCTCGGCATCGAACGAATAAGTCTCAGAATCTCGTGTTGCCCAATCGCAGCCCACTCTGCCTGTAGTGCCTGTGCGAGTTGCTGAAGTGTCTGGGGCTGAGGGTTACGGCGTCGCACCCGTCTGTCCAGGCCATCCCACAGATGTTCGATCGGGTTTAAGTCCAGTGATCTTGAGGGCCAGTGGAGCACATTGATGTTGTGGTTCTGGAGGAAGTCTCTAGTGTGACGTGCTGTGTGGGGCCTGGCATTGTCCTGTTGAAACAACTCCCTCTGGCGATCAATGATTGGAAGGAGGTGTGGGCGTAGGATCATGTCACAGTACCGTTGAGCTGTCAGGTTGCCCTGGATCCTCAGCAAATCACTTCTCCTACGGCAGGTGATCTCCCCCCACATCATAACACTCTCCCGGCCGAATCTGTCCACCTGGGGAACGAAAGCGTCGGCGAAACGTTCACGTCGACGTCTGTACACCCGCATTCTTCCATCGCGTCGTTCCAATAGAAATCGTGATTCGTCACTGAACCAGATTCTACGCCAATTCGGTAGGTTCCAGGCCTGAACGTTGGTGCACCACTGAACTCGATGTCGACGATGTTGTTGTCGAAGCACAGGGCCAAAATAAGGTCTTCTGGCACGTAAACCAGCCTCTCTCAACCTCTTCCTGACGGTCTGTGCAGAAAGCCGCCTTTTTCCGGGTATTTGTCGAGCGGTACGGGTCGCCGTAGCTGTTCGATGACGCAGGTGATGTACCCGGATGTAGCGATCCTGCGCCGCAGTGGTCGCTCGAGGTCGCCCACTACGTGGGCGATATCTCTCCCAGAGCCGTGAAATGGTGCTTTGGTGAACATTCCTGCGTCGGGCAACTGCACGTTGAGACTGGCCAGCTTCAAGCAAACCAATGGCGATATGACGGTTGGCTTCACTTAGACGTGGCATTTTGCGTTCGTCAACAATATTCCAAATACAGTGAATAATCGACAGACAACGATCAACCTTTTATACCCATCATTGAGACTATCTGATCCCCAACTTTCACGTGCATTGCATGTGAATTGTGTATTCTGTGACACTACACGCCGAAATTGAAAATCATGCTGTTAAATACGGGTATTTTACGGATGGTGCGTTTTGTTGTGATGTTTCAAAACATAAACACCATAGGACTCATAAACAGAGCAAAACCTTTTGTAAAATTAATCACGTTTTAATTCATTGCTACATGAAATTGCTATTCCCATGATGCGTTTCTTTTTTGGGAGAGTATAGTTGCAAGTGTGCATATTTGAACTACAAACAAACCTACCGCACTCTTAACTCACTTTGGCACTGCAGTACACTATCATTTACATATTTACAAATCCTTATCTTGGGCTCAAATCGAACATGACGTTAAGGAGTTCACATCTGCTCTTTCTGTGGGTAACGACGACGGCCCTGTGGGGAGTAGTTTACACCGTCGTCGATGATGTTGCAGTGGACGCTGTCATCAATGCCGGGCTGAAATGTCACCAGACGCCTGGGTTAGCTGTGGCAGTGGTGAAAGATGGCAACGTCGTCATGTCGCGAGGATTCGGCTTCGGCGACGTTTCTGCCAAAACACCCGTCACTAACACAACGATGTTTCAAATAGCATCGTTGTCCAAAGCGTTCACGACGGCGCTGCTCAGTAAAGTATTACATGATCAAAGTAGGTAAGTATTGGAATATGGGTCATCGTTGATTAAGGTGTATACAGCCGTTTTCACGAGAGCAATACTGGTATATATTGAGCCTCTGTTGTATAATGTTTCAAACCCTGATTTCTTTGAGTGGCATTCTAGAACTTGGTGGTATAGAGGTGACAAAACTTTATGGATGATCAACGTCTTTATCTTCAAGCTTGAAAACGGTATAAGAATCTACACCGAAACGTAGCCATGGTGAAAATAAAGAAGTTGATCATACATAACGTTTTGTCATCTCTGTTTCAAACCCTACTGTGAACGCACTGGGCTTTGACACCAACATTACATACATTTATCAACATCCACATCACCCACTATCTGTTGTATTTTATATACTAAATATCCCGGAACCATTAACCGGAACCCGGAACCATGTAAGTGACATCATCATCAACCTCCTATTCAAACTCGACACAAATGTTATATCGCTCATGAGTGTAAAATGACTATTTTACGGTTTTTGTAACCGATCGGGATCAACGAAGCTATGGTGAATGTGTCTAAATTATTCATCATAATTGAAAGGAGATATAATATACACTAGTATCGATGATAATCCTAATGAACTCTGCATTTTATTTCGACCAAAACAAATTGTCATTCGGTGTCCCTTCCTGAAAGGATGAACAGCTGCGACAGTTACGCGAGGGCACCATGTGTTTTGTGTTTGATGCTGATTTGAATGCGATGCATATATCTCTAGTTTCACCATCAACACGAATGTGTACAAGATCCTGGGTCGGTACAAGTTCAACAACACCCTGCGGTCTGTGTACGCCACAGTGGAGGACTTGATGGCGCACAGGATGGGCATCCCCAGGAACAACTACCTCCGGCTGGACGACACCCTCACTCGGGACAACCTCCTTAGGTACATCAATCTGGTCTAGATCCAGCCTAAGTAAACTTAAGCTCAACTTTAAACTTAAGTAAACTTACACTGCTATACTGAGTCTAACAAAACCTTGTAGAAGGTCGCGTCAGCTAACCTTTTGGACTGACCAATCAGAACACAGCTTACCAAATCGCGAAAGTTAACATTCGCACATACCGTTGAAGCTTTACCTCAAAAACTCGAACGATTCCGAATGCTATATTCCGCACGATCGCTTCCGAGTGATACACGCAATGAGTAAACAGTCGCTGAAAATAGCGTTTTTTCAATATTCAAGGATGTCATCTTGCGAAAATATAAGCAAATAGTAACCATGTTATTAGAAACCCATAAGCGTATATACTGCAGGTCAAATATCTGTGTTTTATGCGGATTTTCGTTTGTTGATAGATCAGTGTCAGCGACCAGGGAAGAGAAAATTCAAAAACCGTTTTGTAAGTCCCGCCGAACCCTAACAAGTAGTCGTTGTCTGATTGGTTAAATCCGTTCGGCCGTCTCGCGTTTGATTGGACGGTCATAGGTCGCTCAAAGGTTAGCTGACGCGACCTTCTTCAAGGTTTTGTTAAACTCAGTATTGCAGTGTAACGAATAATACTGAGCCTAAGATTACTTAGACTGGTCTAGATCGACACACATTCCACAGGTATATTACGGAAAAGACACCATGTTCTGATCAATCGGGAGAATACATCTGGTATTTGTACAATTTGCTGGATGGGGGAGAGTTTGTTTGTAGCCTATGGCTGTAAAGCAGTCTGTACCAGACAGTCGAGTGATAAAGACTGTGTACCAGACACTCAAGTGATAAAGACTGTGTACCACACAATCAAGTGATAAAGACTATGTACCAGACAATCGAGTGATAAAGACTGCGTACCAGACAGTCGAGTATAAAGACTGTGTATACCAGACAATCAAGTGATAAAGACTGTGTACCAGACAATCAAGTGATAAAGACTGTGTACCAGACAATCGAGTGATAAAGACTGTGATACCAGACAATAATAAAGACGACTGTATACCAGACAATCAAGTGATAAAGACTGTGTACCAGACAATCGAGTGATAAAGACTGTGTACCAGACAATCAAGTGATAAAGACTGTGTACCAGACAATCAAGTGATAAAGACTGTGTACCAGACAATCAAGTGATAAAGACTGTGTACCAGACAATCGAGTTATAAAGACTGTGTACCAGACAATCAAGTGATAAAGACTGTGTACCAGACAATCAAGTGATAAAGACTGTGTACCAGACAATCAAGTGATAAAGACTGTGTACCAGACAATCAAGTACCAGACACCAAATAAAGACTGTGTACCTGTGTACCAGACAATCAAGTGATAAAGACTGTGTACCAGACAATCAAGTGATAAAGACTGTGTACCAGACAATCGAGTGATAAAGACTGTGTACCAGACAATCAAGTGATAAAGACTGTGTACCAGACAATCAAGTGATAAAGACTGTGTACCAGACAATCGAGTGATAAAGACTGTGTACCAGACAATCAAGTGATAAAGACTGTGTATCAGACAATCGAGTGATAAAGACTGTGTACCAGACAATCAAGTGATAAAGACTATGTACCAGACAATCAAGTGATAAAGACTGTGTACCAGACAGTCGAGTGATAAAGAATATTGACTAGACAATCAAGTTATAAAGACTGTGTACCAGACAGTCGAGTGATAAAGAATATTGACCAGACAATCAAGTTATAAAGACTGTGTACCAGACAATCAAGTGATAAAGACTGTGTACCAGACAATCGAGTGATAGAGAATATTGACCAGACCACCCAGTGATAAAGACACTCCAGTGATAAAAAGGAGGACCAGACAATCCAGTGACAGGTACCGCGTTTACTAATTTGTTGAAAACAAATGTTATCTTTGATGTCATATCGGCGTACAAGATCAGAGATCCTGCTGTTTACTTCAAGAAAACACTTCGGAAATGTCTTCGCTATGCAGGGTCAATTTCAATGCTTCGGTCTAAACATATTTTTCGTAATTAATTTTGCTTATATTTATATTGTTCGAGAGAGGATAGCAAACTTTCTTACTCTGCTATGGGCCGACTATTTGGGATTTCTTTTCACCTGCAACTGAAACAACATCTAGTCTTAGTACACAAACTCCAGATCATCAAATGGTCGGTCCCGTTCCTCAACATTTCTTACTGCTGAATGTGAACTTGGAGCAAGGATTCCAGACGGTCGTGTTTTAACTGAGGTGAAATTTTATATTAAATATACGTGCTATTTATTTCGATAGCTCGAAGGATCTTTATTCAAAGTTCCTTTCGGACGACAAATATAAATATACTCCAGCTTTCTATGACAGCCGGGTGAAGTACCTCCCCAGTGTCGGCGGCTTCAGAGACAGCTTCTACTACAGCGACCTCATGTACGGACTGCTGACCCACATCACGGAGTTCCTCACAAAGAAGGCTTGGGAGGACAGCATGACCGACATCATATTCAAGCCCTTACACATGGACTCCACCACATTTGGAACTCGAGTGGACTACAGTGCACCAAATATGGCAACGCCTTATTCTGAACAGAGTAGCAAGCTTGTTGTGCCATCGTCTCAATTTATCCGGTATGTCTGTGACAGTCCATAGTAGTGAGTGAGTGAGTTTAGTTTTACGCCGCACTCAGCAATATTCCAGCTATATGGCGGCGGTCTGTAAATAATCGAGTCTGGACCAGACAATCCAGTGATCAACAGCATGAACATCGATCTGCGCAATTGGGCAGTCCGTATAGGTATCAGTTGGAGTCATGAAGGTTTATGTGGGCAGTATTCCATTATTGTTACAGCTGAAGACAAGAACAGATTTCACCCAGTGAACCTATGTTCAGAATCGATACCATGCCTTCGGCAGTGACAAGCTAGCGTTGTAAGCCACTGTCAGTGGAGATATACACTTTTAAATTAAAATAAGCAACACTTATAATTGGTTTTGCATACATATTACTTTCAAACTGATGGGAACTGATGGGAATTAAATGTGAAACCTGTCTCTGCGTCGGAGTTGATGTTGAGTGCCAGGGATACAATGTACTTCCTTTCTGGGGCCTGTCTGATCCAGACTGACTGACTGACTGACTGAGTTTGGTTTTACGCCGCTTTTAGCAATATTCCAGCAACATCACGGCGGGGGACACCAGAAAGGGGCTTCACACATTGTGCCCATGTTGGGATTCGAACCCGGGTCTTTGGCGTGACGAGCCAACGCTTTAACCATTAGGCTACCCCACCGCCCCGTCTGATCCAGAGTTGTAAGGGACTGGTAAACTGGATGTGTGATCTTATGTGTTATCTACGATTTGTTACTGGTTATAAAGATAGTCTCATCTCATTCTCCACCAGTCACTGGGCAAAGCTGGGTGGATCTGGGTCGGTGGTCAGTACCGCAGACGACATGGCCAAGTGGATGTTGTTCCATCTGAGTGGCGGGAAAAACCGCGAGGGCAACCAAGTGGTGGCGGAAGATCTGCTAAAGGAAACATACAAACCCAGGAACGCTATCTCCGGTGGTTCAATAAACACCTACTTCAGCAGACCGAAGACACCAGTTACAATGAGCAACAACGGTTACGGCCTTGGATGGAAGAGCGGATATTACAGAGGTGGGTTCTCTGTGGATTCAGTTTCATGCAGGAGGGTAGCTGAAAGTTCTAAGCAGACATGACATGCTTACAGATGATCGACGACTGACTATGAAAAGCAACCAACTGTCAACAATCTACACGACTGGGTAATCCTTGGGTAGGCTGAATAATTTCTCCTGCAGTTTACCGCTGCACTCAGCAATGTTCTAGGTATATGATGGTCTGTCAATTATGGAGTAGGGCCAGACAAATTAGCTATAGAACCTGACTGCACGATCAGTTAAGTCGCCTGAAAAGCAAACGTTGCCGGGAGTGTTTACATGCAAGGGCCATTATCACGTCAAATCTGTATCTAGAACATTTCACTGTTGAATTCCTGAAACCGTGTTGCAGGAATACCAATGGTACAGCATTCAGGCAGCACATTCGGATACCGGAGTTTCCTGACTCTCCTCCCAGACAAGAACCTGGGTGTGTTCGTGACGATGACGGGTTACGACCCAGACTACTGGTTCAGGGGGTCGCTCAGCGCCTACCTGATGGACGTGTACCTGGGGGAGGCGCCCTGGATCAACACCAGCACCATCTGCTCCTTCCCCGACCCCTGGCGCACATCTAGTACACGGAGACGTTCTAGACCCCGTAAAGGCTCTGGTAGAAGGTTGACTAGGAGGAGGCGGGCCACATCTCACACTGTGAGTAAAGAACGTGGGAACAGAGAGATACAGCGTGTGATTAAATGTAACAATCAGAAACAACCTGAGTGAAAGAACTTCGTAATGTCTTATTGGTAGGGAAATAATGTTTAATGACATTCTCTTGGAATATTAACAACCAATATGTGAAAGTCGCAATTTAGTGACACTGCCTTTTATCAACACTAACTTACCAAAGATACCTGTACTCAAATTTGGCTCAAATATACGTGTCATGTCGTGAAAGGGAACAATAAATGCATTCATGTTATCATTGGCAGGAGTTTCATGCATGAAGTGTATATCCCCAGGCTAACCTAGCCCTCCAGGCGTACAGCGGAACGTTCAGAAACGAAGCCTACGGGAACATCATCATCCACTACGACAGCGCGTCCCACGAGTTGAAGGCCACATATGGTATCGCCAGCTGGGTCCTCGCGTCACGTGGAGGGGACACTTTCAGAGCTACCTGGGACAAACCCGCTCCCATTCTCAATTTTAATTTCGTTTTCAAGACATCCAGTGGCCATGCTTATGCACTCATTCCAAGTTTTGAGCATAGCTCTCCTCCTGTATTCTATCGAACTGGTGGCAGTGACCCCATTATTGGGTGACCTGTTACTGCTCCCAATAAACAGTGTTACTTATCAACTGTGTCAGCTGTTACTACACCGTGTTGTCATTTGTAAAAAGATGGTACTGGACGACCTGTGCACACGAAGATTCCTTACCCACCCAAAATGGCTAACCGGTGTAAATATTCAAGTCCAATCTGTACATTATTTCGAGCATTCTTGCAAGATTTGGTTGACTCGCCATACATCAAGACGTCCCGTATGCTAATTCAAAGCCAACTGATGAGAGGCATATATGGATATGTAGTAGCGTTAGGATGGGGTTACTTCTGTCTGGTAGGAACCACAAAGCCACTGGGGTGGGTGGCGATTGACGTGTATTACAATGGATGCAATAAAGAAAGATGAGCCAGGTTGGTATCACCTGAGCTGCTGCATACATAGGCGACACATCTACGTCATGTGTACGTACGTCATCTGCTTATAGATACATGAAATAAACAATATACTAGCTCCGGAGCAATAAACTAAAGGGGTTCCCACATGTTAATTCAATTAAGGCAGTATCATAAACAAATGCAGGAATAATATTCAAAACATGGACAGCATGAAATCCCATTAACTGCCATTAAGTGTCCATATGCCGAGGTCACACAAGTGTTCATATATTAAGGTCACACAAGTGTCCATATATTAAGGTCACACAAGTGTCCATGTGTAGAAGTCACACAAGTGTCCATATGTAGAGGTCACACAAGTGTCCATATGTTAAGGTCACACAAGTGTCCATATGTTGAGGTCACACAAGTGTCCATATGTTAAGGTCACACAAGTGTCCATATGTAGAGGTCACACAAGTGTCCATATATTAAGGTCACACAAGTGTCCATATGTAGAGGTCACACAAGTGTTCATATGTTAAGGTCACACAAGTGTCCATATGTAGAGGTCACACAAGTGTCCATATGTTAAGGTCACACAAGTGTCCATATGTTAAGGTCACACAAGTGTCCATATGTTAAGGTCACACAAGTGTCCATATGTCAAGGTCACACAAGTGTCCATATGTTAAGGTCACACAAGTGTCCATATGTAGAGGTCACACAAGTGTCCATATGTTAAGGTCACACAAGTGTCCATATGTAGAGGTCACACAAGTGTCCATATGATAAGGTCACACAAGTGTCCATATGTTAAGGTCACACAAGTGTCCATATGTTAAGGTCACACAAGTGTCCATATGTAGAGGTCAAACACCATGATACATTGACACATACACGTGCCAACATGAAAACAATCTCAGACAGACTCTATTCACAGAACGATGATGATACGTTGTGGGCGTTGTCGTCGTTGTCGATGGCTATCGTAGTCGTAACTGTATCGTCTATGTGGCTGACATAGGCCCATCTTCTATGGCGGTGTCCTGTCCATAATCCTCACGGGGGGCTCCAAGATGTAGTAGCGTTAGGATGGGGTTACTTCTGTCTGGTAGGAACCACAAAGCCACTGGGGTGTGAGGCGATGGACGTGTATTACAATGGATGCAATAAAGAATGATGAGCCAGGTTTGTATCACCTGAGCTGCTGCATACATAGGCGACACATCTACGTCATGTCTACGTCATCTGCTTATAGATACATGAAAAACAGTCCAGATTACCATGATCTCGATCCTACAGAACATGAACAAACAACATGTGCGACGACAACCACATATGATACTGACCAAGAGACAAGATGAAATAAACCTTTAAATACCTTATACGCTTGGAGGAACATAGAACAATTGAACCTCCACACAGGTTATCTCCCATTTGACAGACACCCATTTGACAGACAGTCAATTGACAGACACTGAACTAGAAGGCTAATTAGGGTAACACCTACGGGTGCAATGGAACAATCCACTGTCTAATGAGTAGAGTAGGGTGAGCTTGATACAGGTTCGTTACTGTTCGTTATCTGTCTCTTCTCAAAATTGTTTTACTATCAATTACTATCGAATATAAAAACAGGTTTGTCACTGAGAGGTTTGATTGTGTTTATTGATTCAAACATATTTTACTCATTCAAGAAAAGGATTGGGCACAAGTTATCCAACTCGGAAAAGCCCTCTCCCAATAATAGGATATGTACAACAGAAACGGTTTTGTTAGAGAGATATAGATATATCTGATATGTACATATTTGAAAACATTCTGATTTTCAGCAATTGAGACACCTACATTGCCATGTAAGATTAATACCAATCAGTGTTCTAATTTTCTAAATATTTTCTAAAGAGTTTATGTCTTTGAATAGTATACAATGGATATTCAAGGAAGTAATGAAAAACATTCTCACATCCATGTCCACATTGACATGATGCGTCATTTAAAAATATTCTAAATAAATCATAATTAAGTGTACTCAAAATATATTTTAATCTTGTGTGCAAACCGGCATACAGCTGGAATATTGCTGAGTGTTGCGTAAAACTAAACTCCTGTGTGCAAAACATTTAACTTCCTTATTCCATATGTTGAGTACCTCAGTCTTGTACATGGTTGACTATAATTATTGGAGTTTCTTAACTCATAACTTGTCTGGTTACCTACTACAGGTTGGAGTAAATCCTGAAGAAACTGGTGTTGTTCTATTTAGTAGGAAGTTTAGTTTCTGAAATGCTCCAATCATTTCATATGTCTTTTAGACAATGTTTTCAGTATGATGCCGCCAACTCCCGTTAGATGAGATGTTTACACCCAAATGTTTATGAAAATAAACTGTTTTATATCGCAGCAATCAAACTTCAAATTAATGTCTTTTCGGATATCTTTCAAAGTGAATATTATAGCTCCAATTTTTTTCTTGTTTTTTATTTGGACTATTCTATTATAATGTATAGGTAACAGATAGTAGCTAATCTGTTCATTGAACCGTAAATGTTGATGTTTTAAGGTGTCTGCGAACTGCCTGTCTGCGTAATGGGAGGACACCTCCACACAAGCCTAAGCAAAGGACATGCTTTGGGAGGGATTGCAGTAAGAAAGGCATGGGGGTCTTCCCACTTCTCCTATTGTTTCAGTAGAAGAAATCGTTTGGGGGTGATATTCCCCTTTAATACCTTATTTTGTACCAAGGCATGCAGTGTAAATTAGTAGTGCTGAAATAGATTACTCTTAAGATTAGATTGATGTCTGTATGGCTAATGTTGAGTGTTGAGTATAAAAAATTGATAAAATGGTTAGATATAGTTTATTTAATGAGATTGTATACCTCATCATAGGCCCAGATAAGCTGCGTATCCGGATAAAATACGCATAGAAAATTTCCAATTACGCATTGAAAAATAATTCTTGCGTACCAATTACGCATTTAAAATGTTAGATACGCAAAAAGTTAAAAACAAATGCATACGGAATATATTTATAAAAATCGCTTGCGTTATGAAAAAGACATCGATTGCTATCAAGTTGTACTGTTAGTATAGGACAAGTGTTGTACTGTCAGTATAGGTTGACTGATTTTTTATGAAATCATTTCCATTATATTTAAGTTGGTTTTGATTAGGTATGACATAAGGCAGAACATACCTGCTTAGTAAACTTACTCAATAACATAATACTTAGGTGAGTAAAATGACTGAAATACGCACATATTTGAAAGCAGTGGGTAACGGAAAATGAAATACCCACTCAACATTCATAATATCCACTCCAAAAAAATATAGTGGGTACAGTACCCACATGAGCTAAATCTTATCTGGAGCTCTGACAAACCTCATTAAAATATGACAAACAACTTTAAAAGTATTCACATGTTTATATTCATAAACTATATACATTTGTATTTATATTTATAATACTATATTTATAAACTATATACATTTGTATTTATATTCATAAACTATATACATTTGTATTTATATTCATAAACTATATACATTTGTATTTATATTTATAAACTATATACATTTGTATTTATATTTATAAACTATATACATTTGTATTTATATTTATAAACTATACTCTGCAAAAAAAGAAACGCACAGGTGATAATGAAATTTAAAATTAACTTTATTTTATTTCTATGCAAACAAAACCCGGTTACTTTAACCAAACATAATGTATACTTGTTCATATCCATTAAGTATCGCTCAAACACACCATTTCATGAAATATTGTTGTTTGATGATGGTTTTTGAAAATATCATGAAATTTTCACGTGTAAATGACATTTCGAACGATATGCACGTGAAAGTTGCTTCACCTATGCACCAGTGTGTAGGGTATATGAGGAAGGCAGTTTAACGTGTTCAATTCACTTTCAACGCCAGTTTACTGACGAATTCAACATGCCACGACTTAGCGAAGCTGACCGGAACATCGCCATCGGACGTCTTGAAGCTGGCGAATCTCAGTCATCAGTTGCAAGGCACTTCAACGTGCATCACACAACAATTTTCCGTTTATGGAGGCGCTACAATCAACTGGGCTCGACCCGCGACCGACCTCGGAGTGGTAGACCACGGGTAACCAATGCTGCACAGGACCGCTACATCCGGGTGTTCCATTTACGTAACCGGGCCGTCCCAGCAACACAAACAGCAGAGAACGTCCCAGGTCTTCGCCGCGTCTCCGCCCAGACCATCAGAAATCGCCTCAGACAGCACGGGATACGCCCTCGACGACCTCACGTAGGATGCACACTACGACCTCATCATCGCCTGGCACGTGTTCGATGGTGCAGGAACGTCCAGAGATGGAATTGGAGACATTGGCAGCGAATTTGGTTCAGCGACGAATCTCGTTTCCAACTTCAAAGACACGATGGTAGGACGAGGGTCTATAGACGGAGAAACGAACGTTACGCCCGTAATTGTGTAGTTGAAGCGGACAGATTTGGAGGGGGAAGTGTGATGGTATGGGGGCCATTTCTTACAACGGGAGAAGTGACTTGGTGCACGTCCGTGGTAACCTGACTGCAATTCGTTACAGGGATGAAATTCTGCAACGTCATCTTTACCTGTCATCAACCCTCAACGTCACGTTTTCCAACAGGACAACGCCAGACCGCACGTGGCTCGCATCACGATGGACTACCTGA